AGGCTGGGGGGCGTCGAGAAGCGGCATTACCTGCTCCAAGGACATCGCAGATAGAGCCCATGCGAAAGTAGTCACGATAGGCAACTACAGTGTCACTGAGGTTTTTACTGGTATGCATTTACTAACGAAAGAGCCACCCCAAAAGCGTTTTTATACGCCTGTTTTGAGTTGACTGGAGATGTTGTCTCACGGGCTCGCAAGCAGCCCCCTGTATTTGAATGCTGCTCGTTTTCGCCCTGATGAGGTGTGTCGAACCGGCAGCCTTAAAGGGCATGGCTTGGCCTCTCGCGAGCTCCACAAACTTGCTGTTCGCAGCTGGCACGGGATACTTTGAGAATAGCAGTCAGCGAATATCTGCGCTCGTTGATGATATTAATGTCACATCATCCAGTACTGTCTGAAACTTCGCTGCCTAATTGTTGTCAAAATAAAGAAGCTCGTCGCCTTCCAAGTTTGATGTTCGAAATTTGGTTGATAACTCACAACTAAACAAGGAGGGCTGCATTTTCGTTCGACAGCATCACCCGTTCGTCAGTCGCACCACTGCCCCCTCCCCCTCCCCGCCCCCCCCCCCCCCGTTTTAACCTTCCCGTCCGTCCGGCAGACATTCAAGGAGCGAGAGCAGGGCCGGCTCGTGGTCTACGTCACCACCATGGGCATCGTACGCGCCACCTATCAAAGGTGCCAGCGTGTGCGACAGATCCTACGGCAGCTGATGGTGCAGTTCGAGGAGCGAGACCTGTTCCTGAGCGAGGCCATTCAGGAGGAGCTGCGACAGCGTCTAGGCTCCGACAGCGTCCAATTGCCGCAGCTCTTCATCGAGGGACAGCTACTCGGGGTGAGTGCTGTGATGGAAAGAGCAACTGCTTGGGGTGGGTACTGCGATGGGAGGAGCAGCTGCTTGGGGTGGACACTGCGATGGGAGGACCAGCTGCTTGGGGTGGGTACTGCGATGGGAGGAGCAGCTGCTTGGGGTGGGTACTGCGATGGAAGGAGCAGCTGCTTGTGGTGGGTACGGTGATGGGACAAGCAGCTTCTTGGGGTGGGCACTGCGATGGGAGGAGCAGCTGTTTGGGGTGAGTATTGTGATGGAAAGAGCAGCTGTCTGGGTGTGTGCTGTGATAGCAAGAGCAGCTGCTTGGGGTGCGTACTGTGATGGGATAAGCGGCTTCTTAGGGTGTGTACTGTGATGGGATAAGCAGCTACTTGCGGTGGCTACTGTGATGGAAAGAGCAGCTGCCTGGGTGTGTGCTGTGATAGCAAGAGCAGCTGCCTGGGGTGGGTACTGTGATGGGATAAGCAGCATCTTGGGGATGTGTGATGGGATAATCAGCTTCTTGGGGTGGCTACTGTGATGGAAAGAGCAGCTGCCTGGGTGTGTGCTATGATAACAAGAGCAGCTGTTTGGGGTGGGTACTGTGATGGGATAAGCAGCTACTTGGGGTGGCTGCTGTGATGGAAAGAGAAGCTGCCTGGGTGTGTGCTGTGATAAAAAGAGCAGCTGTTTGAGGTGGGTACTGTGATGGGATAAGCAGCATGTTGGGGTGGGTACTGCGATGGGAGGAGTAGCTGCTTGGGGTGGGTACTGCGATGGGAGGAATAGCTGCTTGGGGTGGGTACTGCGATGGGAGGAGCAGCTGTTTGAGGTGGGTACTGTGATGGGATAAGCAGCTTCTTGGGGTGGGTACTGCGATGGGAGGAGTAGCTGCTTGGGGTGGGTACTGCGATGGGAGGAGCAGCTGTTTGAGGTGGGTACTGTGATGGGATAAGCAGCTTCTTGGGGTGGGTACTGCGATGGGAGGAGTAGCTGCTTGGGGTGGGTACTGCGATGGGAGGAGCAGCTGTTTGGGGTGGGTACTGTGATGGGATAAGCAGCTTCTTGCGGTGGGTAAGAAGTTCTGCCTCGCCGGTCCAGTTTGCACACAGTTTCCGAGTGACGGACTATAGTTTTTTCCAGATTTTAGGACTAGAGCACAGCATATGGTTTGAACTTCGGATCATGTCAAATACTACGGAAAGTGGCATAGCGCTGCCTCTGGTGGCTGACATATCAGATGGGAAAACGTGCATCACGGCCAGAGTAGCTCCCGACAAGGAAATTAGTGATAACGAATGTCTCCAATGTAAAAAAGGAATATATGTAATCTATAAAATAGAATCTTCAGCCTACCACCTATTAGAACAAACTGAAATTTACGGAATTTGCCATAAATACATACTTGTCTTTCAAATGTAACGGATGTTAAATCTGTTACGATGAGCCAAATTATGCATTACAGAACACGTTGTGCTTGAATGTGGAGCAAGCCATGAGGTATAGCATTCCACAACCAAAATTATGCGCATCCGAATTTCCGTAATTTATCCCCGAGATCAGGACGGAGAGAGAGAAATAGGTAATAGCCAACGACGTGTAAACAAGCAGGTACAAATACAGAGTTGCCGTGGACTTCAGTCTGGCCTGTCGGACTGTGTTGTTTGCTCTCTCGCTCTCTCTCTCTTGACGTCGCCAATGAATCACGCCTTGTGCAGCTCCAACCGGACCTATCCCGGCGCGGTGGGCCAGTCGGCGGCCGCTGGGTCGGCGGCACCGTTAGCTAACCCGGACCGGCGATGACCGGCGCGCCAGGGTCGGTCGCGCTCGGCTACGGCACCCGCGAACCCAGCTGATCCGCCAGATTAGAGGCCAGGAGACAAATATGGCGCATGGGATCCACTGGATGGGGATGCATCGCTCACTGGCGGTGGAAGCCGTCACTATCTACACCCATCTCGGCGTTCCGTTAAAAAAAGAAAAACAACCAAAACGTGACTGATAATTATTATGCTCGCATGTGGCTGGGGCGGCGTGTGACAAACGGCACTGGCTCGGAGACGTTCGAAAGAAACCAACAATGTTTCTAGACGCCAGGCGTTGGGAATACGGATGCAGATGAGGTGCGTGGGTGTCGAGACGGCAGCTGTGACCTCCGCCACCGCACCCATCCGCCTCCGATCCCCTGGCCCGGTATTTCCCGACAGCCAGCAGGCAGCCGGCTCTGTGGCCGCCGCCGGCCCCGGCTCAGCGAGAGCGCCGCTCGGCCGGCGCCGACTCCGGCCTCTGCTCGGGCCATGTTGCCTTGTCGAGGCCGTCAGCGGCCGGCGCCGACTCCGGCCTCTGCTCGGGCCATGTTGCCTTGCCGAGGCCGTCAGCGGCCGGCGCCGACTCCGGCCTCTGCTCGGGCCATGCTGCCTTGCCGAGGCCGTCAGCGGCCGGCGGCAGGGCCGGCCCGTGATGCTGGTCCGGCCGGCGGCGCCGCGCACGCCGTGCCAGCTGGTGGCTGGTGGGTCAGCGCGAGACATCGTGCTCCTGTTGGGTGATTGCTGGTGACCCCGCCACACTCGTTATGATTCAGTAGTCATGGTTAGCGGGGCAGGTGCAAATGTCTCGTGCTTCCAGTTAGTTTGACGCAAGTACTGGATGTCTGCGTGTCCTTTGCGAAACACCTGAAAACTGTGCGAGCTGCAGTGAATTCACCGACTCTGAAACTTACTTTCATGAACTCTGAAATTTGCAAATTTCCCAACCGGTAGCAATAGTCTTAGGCTACAGCCATCTCTGAATTACGGATTTTCTTGGCGTTAGGGAAAGGCTGAAAAATTCTGGCACAACCATGGCTGGAGTATGCTAAAATAGTTGGTGTAGCAAAGCCGTCAGAGCGTGCAACTTTAAATAAATATGGAAATTATAAAATCATGGTGGTTCGGATGAAAGCTTGCGTGACCGCTGCCACAACTGCTACACCGCATGCTCCACCCATATCCGCCGCCTCGGTGATTGCATTAGCTAGAATTACACGTCTTGAACTTGGACCGTCATTGGAGGTCAGAGGTTTCCTTGGGCCGAGAAAATGATTACTGCCGCTGTGCTAAGCGCTCTTATTACCTGCGAGCACGTCCGCAGCACATAACCGGCGGGCTGGGTGACTGGCTGCCTGTGTGAATGAGTGGCTGCCTGGAATGGAATGCTGCCGTTTATGAAACGGACGGACGGACGGACGGACGGACGGACGGATTATCGTCGCGGCTCTCAGTCTCTGTTTCCCTTCCACTCAGTCGGTTTTGCTCAGCTCCATGGGCAAGCCCGCTGGCGCCTGAAGCGTGACCCGCTGGGTCACGCTTCAGGCTGCAGGCACCCGATGTTCTGTCAGTGAGAGGCAGACATCTCTCGGCCGGTAGCTGATGACCTGATACTGGTGTGCCGTCAGGGCGCCGATACGGTGGAGAGATTGAACGAGACAGGCGAGCTACGCCGCATGCTCAAGCCATACAAGGTAAGAGGCTGGTGGCGACCACACACACGGCATTGTGCAGCTGAAAAAGGTGCACTCGAACAAAGGAAATGCGTGTCTTTGGACTTGCCCAGTGTGTTGAGCAGCCCACAGCCAAAATGGTGGTGATCATTGGTATTGTTTCCGCGTTACTTATGAAATTATTGCTACTTAGTTGCACCTACATTAAGTACTTTCCAATCTCAACAATCATATCCAAAAAAATAGATCATGCTCATTCTACTACCTCGTTGCAGCTAGACACTTTTGAAATGTTTGAAGATGTGCTAGTATGTTATCATCCTCTGGTATCCTAATATTCCACAAACTTGCGAATTATTGGGAGCTTCTGGTGATAACACTTGTCGGTGCCGATATTCATAGATGCTGAGTTTTAAACAGCCTTGGGTATTCCACCGTCGTAGTTATATTCGTTGATTATTGCAGCTTATCATGCTAAAAATATGTTTACTTTGGGTCGTAGGAGATAGAATGTAATAAGGCGAAATTATATTTTTCAAGTGCTTGGAAGGTTCCTTTTATAACTAATTTATCTTGCTGCTTCTGGAAGCGCTCTTTATAAAATGTATCGCCAAACTGTTACTGGATCCCTTACCTATTCCGGGCGTGTGGCCGCCCCCTTCAACTCAGTGACCTCAGCTGAAGTCCGTGACCCCACCTGCCCGGCAGACCACGGCTCCGACGACGTCGTGTGCCAAGTGCGGCGGCTTCCGTATGCTTCCCTGCACCGTCTGCAACGGCTCCAAGAAGTCGTGCCACCGTAATCACCTGACAGCGGCCTGGGTGGTGCTGCGCTGCTGCGCCTGCGACCCGTCCGGTCTGGTGGAGTGCGACCTGTGCCGCAGCTGACCTGCGCCTGCGACCCGTCCGGTCTGGTGGAGTGTGACCTGTGCCGCAGCTGACCTGCGCCTGCGACCCGTCCGGTCTGGTGGAGTGTGACCTGTGCCTGTGACCCTCCGGCCTGTTGGAGTGTGATCTGTGCCTGTGACCCTCCGGCCCGGTGGAGTGTGATCTGTGACGCAGCTGACCTGTGCCGCTTGTTCGGTCGTGGCGTGGCTGCTGCGCCAGCACGCAGTGCGAGGCTGGGCACAGGCGAGCGGCGAGCAGCGAGTGGCATCTTTCACGTGGGTTATGTTGTTAGCCTGTTGGAGGTGGTTTTGTTGCCGGTTTCAGGGCCGGTTTTTGAGGTAGTCAAACGCCCGAGTAGCCATTTGTAGGCGTGCCTTTTGGTAGACAAGCTGCGCCGTTTGTCATGGACAGTAAGCTGTATCGGAAGATGCGATGACATATTTATCTCGTACTGAGTCGACTTGGAGGACCAGAACTCGCTAGCATCTGAGCGGCGCTCCACATATATATTTGCATGTTGTGAAGCCAGTTATAGGTGCACTTATCTACATGGTGTTCATGTAAACCGTTAGACGCCCGCGCAGTGCACACGAAGTCGAAGCGGCTCTCATTACTTTGTAAGTAGAATCCCTGTCGTATCTAGTAGGGCCGCTAGCGTTATAGTATTACGCTGGCCAAACTGCATATAGCGCTGCACCTGTACGCGCGCATCTGATTTTACGGCCCAGTGCTCAACGCGTGCGTGAACGCACTCAACGCATTTGTGCCACAGCGGCTCCCGGCGCGCTACGTCGAAGTGAGCCTGTGATACCGCGTCGCGTTTGGCGTCGGCGTCTGCCGTCCGGGAGCGGAAACGGCCGACAGCTGGCCCCGTCCGCACTCCGCCGCGCAGCTCTCTCGCTCGCCGCGCTGAGGTGCCGACGCCGCGAGGCGCGGCGGCCCGCAGTGACGTCACGCCGCCGCAGACCGAGGTGACGGCGGAAGCCCGCGCCGCCAGGTGGCTGGAATGGCCCCGGTGCGCCGACAGACTGCCGGCGCTCCGTCGAAAACGCGGGAGCAGGACGCCATATGACGGTTTTCTCGCCACGGAGCTGGGCGACGGTGGGGGCGTGGTGCTTGACGTGATTAATACAGCTCAACCGGACGTGGTGCTGGGCGTGTGAGCCGGCCCGGTGCGATTACCCGCAGAAAGGCACCATGAATTTACTGGATCGTATGTGAAGAGCTTGGTGCGATCGCGCAAACTACGTGGGCACAGTGGTGCGCACAATGGCGTCAGCTGCCGACGTGGCGAGGACAGGGAGGACAGAGGACCATCAGGCAGTTATCACATCTGGGCGTCTCCGTAAGGGAGGTTCCGAAGTTGTATCGAGCAAAACTGCCAGGAACCCGCCTGGGCTGTCGCGTTGTTAAGACTTTGGCGACGCCACGAATTTTGAGTTTTTCAGGGGAGATTTTTCAGGGAACTTCCTGGACAAAATGGGGCCTCCTCACAGGGAGCCTCGTGGGCGGTGCCGTTTTCAAAATAGAAGGGCATCGAGGGTATGTGTGTCCTCATCAATTCCTTACAGGCATCATGTCCAAGCAAATAAATGCCGACGATGAAAAATCCAAAATGGGGGGGGGGGGGGATATTCTGATCATCGAACCAGGAATCTTGCTATCCTAAAACAGGGCCTCCTGTTCTAGAAAAGGGTCTCCTAGGCATAAGAGGCCTACTTATCAAGAACGGGATGCTTCGATTCGCGAAGGGTGCTCCAAATCTGACCAAGAGACCTCGTTATACGAAAACAGGACATCAATATCCAGAAACGCGGCCATTTGATGTATGGAACGGGTCTCCTGTTCCAGAAATGGGCCTCCTGAATAAAGAGAATGTTTCTAAACCCAAAACAAGGGCCCGCCAGTTCATAACGGATGCCTTCCAAGCCAGCAAGTGAACCTGAATACAACATTGGGCCTACTGGTCTGGAGCATGCGCTACCCTACTCAGAAGAGCAGCCTTGTGATCCACAAAACGGGTGTCTGTGTACGGAAAGGTTTCTGAGACCCAGCCATTACTTTCTAGCTCAATTATGCGGGCACCCTTGATCTGAATTTGGTAAACTACGGACAGCTAGAATGTTTTTAGCATGGGACGAAGAAGGGGTCTGTCCAAAATGTTGAGGGGAGAAACATACCCTTACCTCCTGCCTGCCCCCATTGGTATGTGATGGTATGGTATGGTATGCCCCCAGCATTGCTTTAGCTTTAGCAACGTTGCACGCTCCATGTGGCATATCGCACATATGTGAAATATTGATGACGAACGTTCATCGGGACAAAAGCCCCTTTTGCCCCACCCCCATCCCCAGTCTGCCGCCTCTGGTCAGAGCGTAAGTCGTGATGCGCATAAAATGGTAAGTGCCCATGCATAGGCTGATCTTGCTGAGAGATTACTTTCCCATGATGGTGTTGGTTTTCAGCATTGCTTTAGCTTAACGTTCCTTCCAAAAATATGTAACTAGACTGGTTAAGAGCAGTCCGCCTAATCTGCCGCTCACATTCCTCTCAGCGTGTCTTCGGTCACTGGTCGGGACGGGAGGAGGAGTGATGAGCACAGTCCTCTGCCTTCATCAAACTGATCAGGGGGCGTGTTCATTGCTAATGAAAATGAACTAGAGAAAATCCGCCCTGTACCTACGTACTTGCGATGTGGCAGACCGGGTCACCCGTCGCTACAGCCCATGGCAACAGCATATACTGCGTCCCGCTCCAGTCGCTAGGTTACTGAACCATTACCCAGCTAGGTCAAGAGGGTTTCTACGGCTTCCGGAGAACGCAATCGTGAGACCCTAGGCTGACATCAACTGTTTGAGACGCTTGAGCGGTTTTTTACTGACATGAACATTTTGCTCGCATGGCTGTAGATGCTCGCGGCCGCGGTACCCAGTACTTTATGCATGGCTGACGGCCGACGCCTGTTTCCGAATGTGCACGCGTCTGTGTTCAAAATAAAAATTGGCACGCTGCTTTGGAAACATTTCGCATGCATCGAGTGTATACGCATTGCTCGCAAGCGTGCATCGCAAATGTTTGGAAGGGACTAAGAAACCGCGTAGAGCCGGACTCGGCATGTTGACATCATGCATGTCAGCATCTGACCTCATCCCTCCGTAAAATGAATCCTTATCGAACAACCTATCTGCGTTTCTGAGGGTTTTGGGACAAACGTTTATGTGAAACAGTATGCATCAAGTACGTACCTATGCCACCGCTCGTAGGCAAATGTACGAAAGGTGTAAAGTTTGTGTGGTGAAGTCGCACGCAGATAATCGTGTGCAAGTTTGTGAACAAATATTGGTGTGGCATATCGCACATATGTGAAATATTGATGACGAACGTTCATCGGAACAAAAACTGGTACGAAAAATTTCGTATGCATGAAATGAGTTTGCGGATGTTCACAAGCAATTGCACGTGCCCAAATGTTTGTAACGGATCGAGTTGGTTTCAAAAAGTGTGTGCACAAAGCTAACAAGTTTTGATCGCATGACAATAAGCTGGTATGGATGTTGTTCATTGGGTCCAAAACCAATCGACTATCCATGTACCAAATCATGCACCGTCGCCTTTCAGATTTACGAACTATAGTCCCTACGGGGTGGTCTAAGCCATAAAATTAGGCTATGGATGTTTTAGCAGTATCCAGCCTATAGTTTAAAAATTGTGGACTCGGGCAATTTCGTGTCCAGCGCAAACAAGTGCCCCGTCAAACGCCGTTGATAAACAAAGCGTGTTTTGAGAACACCATTTAGGTAACTGCCTGAGTTAAAGAAATATCAACCCAACCTAGTTTACCACCAATTTTTGCGACTCGACTTGGAAAAACAATTTGCTTGCAATGTTAGGTTGCAAAATAGCATTTGCATCGCTAATCGATTGAAAACTTAATATTCTTGGAGACTTTGAGGCATACTTGCATGTGCTGCAGCCCGCTATCAATGCTGGGTTGTGTTTGGGGTCAGTAACACCACTCATCTCACCCCCCCCCCCCCCCCAACCTCACTATGCTATAGGCCTAAAGAAGGTAGAATGACTTGTATGATATGGCGCTCGAAGAAAACGTGGCATGGTGCATATCAAACGGTAGCATTTACAGGGAAAGTTTTCCTATGCCAGTAAAATCTGAGATGTACGACCTGAGTGAGAGAAGAATCTGAGTCGACCGTTCACCCTCGCTTGATCCTCCGTTTTTCATAGCATTTTTCTCATTTTTCTTTTCGCATTTTTCTGTTTACATCATTATACGAGACCATCCCTGGTAGTGACACGAAACGCAAGTAAACGTGCTTCTTGCTGAGTCTGAGTGTAATGATGTAAATTTATACGTGTTTTGAGCATATCATGATGATATACGGCTATGTAAAGGTAACAATGTCGGTCGGTCGCGCGCGTCCTGTGGTATCGTCGGTTGTCGCTCGCCGGCCAAGCCGGTCGCGCCAACCCGTAGAGCGCCGTACAGTGTTCCTAAAACAACGCCACTGCTCCGAAACCGGAGAGTCTAGGAACACGTTTCTTGGTGTCAAAACACCCGCAATGGCATCCCCCCCCCCCCCCCCTGTATCAGGGCGAGAGTTGAGGCGGTTTGCCGCCTGGTTTAAATGTCACGGGTTCTATTCCACCCACCGCCGATTGTTTTTTGTCTTAGCAACGAGGTCGTTAGACATTACCCATCCGGCGCTCGCACCAAGAAAGGGGGTATGGATTCGAATTTGTATAATACATCTCATACGAGCTCCCACATACGTGGTTTTGTCAGACGAACTTTATCCATAACAAATATTTCCGTGTGGATGTGTGTGCGCTTACAACATACATCTGCACAAGATCCTTTGCTTACGCTTTTTCAAACGAACCTCAAATTTCTGATGAGCATATCAGTACTTGCATCATGAATACGCATACGACCTTTTGCGTACGCATCGACAGGGTGCTAATTTGTGTCGTTTCATGAGGGGACTCTCCCCTCTATGTTGGTTTGAGTTCCCAGTACTTTTGTTGAAAGATCACGCAACTTGAGATGGAGGTTAAATATAGCACCAAACTCAGTACTAAAAAAAGAAAATTTCTGTTGCCTTTTTCAGAATAAAGTGCACTGGATCCGTTGAAACACAGACATTTGTGCTTGATAAGTTTGCTGAGCCACAATTCAGCACCTCACAGACTTGTAAAGGAACTTTTCTGACGAAAGCTTTAGTTCCGTTACGGGCGATTTCATTACCAAGATTTCCCGATAAACATTTCATCATGCAGACTTTATCAAACGTTCACTTTTTTGCCGTCACGAAGTAAATACTCTGCGTACTTGCCCTGACGAAGTTTAGGCATATGGGCTGTATCCTGCAAGCAATTGGCGTACGAACTTATCAGACATGTACTTCTGTCCGCAACCCATTTCTGAGTGTTGAAGCCACCAACACTTTCGTGCGTCATGCCCACCTACCTGGCGGCGGGCTCCGGAGGTGTCAACATTGCACGCCACGGGAAGCACGGATGTATGGGTGGAGCGCTAGAGTCATGGCTGCCACAGTCAACGTGGAACAATGCAAGAGCAGGATCACGGACATGGGGGTCATGGGTGTGACCTCATCACCGCGGTAGGTCCACGCGGCCCTACGTGCACAAGAAAAATGCGATGAAATGCGCCAGACGTGGAATGAGATGAATGAAAGCCTGTAAAATGAATATAATGCAAGAGAATGCTGAGCAGGTACCCATGAAAGGTGGGGCCTGCTGTGGGCGGCGTAAATACGCGTAGAGACTATATCTTCTTCGCTTCAGATTACGGGTAGCCGGAGACGGCGATAAAAGCACTGGTGATACACTGCTTGTGCGTTGTCTGGCATGGCACCAAGACCCGTATCTGAGACGAAGTCAAGTGCTTGACATATCTTCCTAGCGCCATCCTATCACGACACCAAATCGTCGCGATCCGTATCAGCAGAGGCTAGTCGACCCTCAGTTCCGGCCGGCACCGCGTGAATAGAGCGGCTTCGATAGCTAGTGCCCACGATTGTTGCACCATGGACCTCGGCTACTGGGCGCTGCTGCTCGTCGTTGTGGGATGGCTGTATTTGCGTACCCGCAAGGCCAAAAAGTTCCCGCCAGGTTAGACAGATTAAAAGAGCTCCCTCTCTCTCTCTCTCTCTCTCTCTCTCTCTCTTCTCTTCTCTCCTCTCTCTCTCCTCTCTCTCTCTCTCTCTCTCTCTCTCTCTCTCTCTTCTCTCTCTCTCCTCTCTCTCTCTCTTCTCTCGCTCTCTCTCTCTCTCTCTCTTCCTCTCTCTCTCTCTCTCTCGCTCTCTCTCTCTCTCTCTCTCTCCTCCTCTCTCTCTCTCCTCTCTCTCTCTCTCTCTCTCTCTTCTCTCTCTCTCTCTCTCTCTCTCTCTCTCTCTCTTCTCTCTCCTCTCTATCTATCTCGCTCTCTCTTATCTCTCTCTCTCTCTCTCTCTCTCTCTCTCTCTCTCTCTCTCTCTCTCTCTCTCTCTCTCTCTCTCTCTCTCTCTCTCTCTCTCTCTTCTCTCTCTCTCTCTCTCTCTCTCTCTCTCTCTCCTTTTCTTCTTCTTCTTCTTCTTCCTGCTGCTTTCTCATGCGAGAGCACACGGATTTCGTCAAGGGCCATGAACGTGAGGATCACTGAATAACAAGTGCCACAGACAACTGGTATCTCACTACCGGCGGCTGTTTTCTACGGCGGCGATGTGCCCATTTGTCTGTGCTCTTGACTGAAATTTGTGTCTCTTTTGAAACTGGGTCATCAGCAGCAAGGTGACATTCATTCTAGCGATCTTTCCATCCTTATTCTGGCTAGGAATGATTATCATGTCGATTAAATTTCAATTGAACCTGTATTCCGATTTTATTCCCATTATGCCCCACGGAGAGGTGCGGGAACTAAGCCATGTGAGTGCAAGGACAACAGCTTACCTTAACACGCGCTCATGTGCGGTCAGATTAAACTCCCAAAGGTTTTTCCGGAGTAGATTCCGAACGGCACGGCTCAGTCGCGCCAAATTTTGCACAACTGTAGATAATTGATAGCAGATCGTTTGGTAAAAAATTAATGTACCTGGTTAGGTCGCTGACTTACGGCAGGTCAAAGTCAGGCCATGGATTCAACGAAGTCAATTTCTATTGAGTCATTTAATCTGATGCAACAACGGAGTGTTAGACGAAGCCATGTACCTCTAAGATGCTTTCCCAGGTAGCACTGCAATTGAGTGAACAAATTTCATCGACCTAGTCAGGTAGGAAGGCCAGACCAAGGTGGTCAACACCAATTTGCTTTATCATTACAAGGCTTGCTGTATGACGTAGTTTCTGGTGGTCATCTGTAATTTATTGATAACAGGAACAGCGTAAGAGATCTTCCATGGACTTCTTTAAGGTCACAATAGGTTACTGACCCAAAATGACTCAGATCAACATATTGTTTTTAGGAACATGCTGCCTAGCACAATATTTGTCGATAATTCAAAATCAAAAACTCAAAAGCAGTCTTGTATGGTTTTGGTCACCATGACCTTCAGAAAGTCTTACAAGGCCACTGACCCTAAACGAGCATGTGAACTTTTGCTTACAACAGTTATCCAGGTTCTGGGGTACTTGAAAGACAAGCCAGGAGTTTGGCATTTTTTTACTTTACTGACTCGAAGAGCATGACCTAAGAACCTCAAACTTTGGCTTAAATAAGTTCACGTACAGGCCAAGACACTCTGAATTTGGTGTCTCTAGCTCTTTCTAGATACACCAATCTCAGGGGGTCAACTTGACCTCCACCCCACCCGAGCGAAGGGTGTCCAACCGGCCACCCGGGCGCGCGGTAATCGGAGACAGGCAAATGTTTCCTCACGTCCAATCTTTATTTTGATAGCGCTGGATCACTCAAGAGTGAATCTCGATAAGTGGTCCGTTTTTGATCTAGATCATTTCAGGGCAAATCATCACGAGGCTGTCTTCTAAGTTTCTTATCCAGGCTTACATAAATATTATCATGATCATGGCATTTTTCAAACAAGGTTCAGTTAGTTAATGTCTTGTCAATAATTCACACTTATTTTGTGTGTTCTTTTCTCAACTCTTTTGAAAGCCCCAACTGAAAGTAGACCCATGTGCGTATTGAGCCGTCGCATACTGCTACCATGACCGTGCCAGTGAAAAGATGGGAACACGTGCTGGTTGTCGCCTCAGGGCCAGCCCGTCTGCCGATCGTCGGAACTCTGTGGCGGTCTCACGTGGGGCGTGAGCCTCAGTTCATCCGACACTGCAGAATGGCGCGCGAGTACGGCAAGGTGAGCGATAGACCCGGCATGGGGCACTCCACACAGCGGTGGTGATGGGCACGAGGCAAAACTCCCGGCCAAATCACAGCATGGGGCACTCCACACAGCGGTGGTGATGGGCACGAGGCGAAACTCCCGGCCAAATCACAGCATAGGACACTCCACACAGCGGTGGTGCTGGGCACGAGACGAAACTCCCGGCCAAATCACAGACCTCATTTGGCCTACTCGCTGCGAATGTGGTTTTTTTCTCAAAACGATAACACATGATAGCGACTGGACGTCTACTCTGATGCTATCGAGATGTTCAGCTTGTCTGATACTGTTATCAGATTTCATCAGGTGTTTGTGACACACAGAACTTGGCATCCCACCGCTGTACTTGAGATAAACATGCTATTAAGCTGATAAAATGTACTCGCCAAAAGCTACCCTGAATTGCGTTATCGCGGACCGGGCTTATTAACACCCTGTCACCTTGCGTGTTTTCAGGGGCGAAAACCTATGCACTCGTAAACAATGGAGACCTATTGTCCTGTGGGCACCAACGTTTTTAGGGACAAGCAAAACTTCGTGTTCCGTTCTCGAACCAATGCACTTGGACAGCTCTGAATAGTGAGCCCGGTGAGGGACTGCTACTACAAGCGCGTGTGGTCACCCCCACGCCTGCCTACTACAAGCGCGTGTGGTCACCCCCACGCCTGCTACACCACATTCTCCACATACGTCAGAGGGGCTGCCAACATGACGTACAGCCCGCACCCCTGACATCGATTAAACTCGCTCTGCATGCCTTCAAGGGGATGCTCCACATTTGAACATGGTGACGTAAGCATCAGATATGATAAAAGCAAACCAATTTGCAACTGTTGGTGTACTTTTCAGTGGCAAAGACTGCTCTAGACAACACCATTTCTCTGCTGAGTAAATGTGATATTCAATAAGTCACTGATTGTGTCATCGCACTTTCCACAATATTGAGTGAGAGCCAATGGACGGCCGTTATATGCAGAAATCGTGCTCACGAAGGCTAGATGTGAACGACTCGACATTTATGTTTGTAGTGGGCTTGGCTGTCGCATGGCTTATGAAATGGCAAGATTTGACTTACGTTATTATGTCGTCATGATTGTCTGAGTGACATTGAAAAGTCTCCCTGAAATAGTCTGCACATGTTCGGGAGCGTGTAACTAAAAAACTAGAGGGTTTTAGGACTTAAGAAGCGCAAAGTTGTGAACTGAACCGAATGATCTCCACAGAGACAACTCCAGTTCAAAACCCTATACATATATGGAACACTCGCTCTAGTCAGCCGCCTGCAAAAGCACCCATCCTCAAATGCAAAAATCACAGCTTTCTAGAAACTGCCGTTTGAGATAATATACGCACCAGGTGTTGTGCGCCTTGGTTGACTCCGCCAGAAACTCATATGTCCTCCAACTAGATTTACGACAGAAGCCAAACATTGCATACAAAACAAGCTTCAAGGAAACTTTGTTTCCAAGCCACATTGCTTGCTTATCATGCAGGCATGGCCTCATATACGGTTTAGAAAGTATTCCAACTTTGAAGATATTCGGACAAGCATGAAATATGACGCAAGAAGTTCGCTTGAAGGTATTGGTATATTGTTCAGTGAAAAGACTGTTCCACTTTTTAGAAAATGTGTTCCTCAATACATCGTCGTTTGATTACGTCACGGAGCGTTTTGATGACGTCAAAGTCACCGCCAAAACGTCCATGTCAGAATAACCACAGTAGTGGACGGGCTAACTCACATGTACTTCAACTCGCTACAAAGTAGCTTTGTCAGTTTATGCGTGTGACGAAAAGCTGAAACTCGTTATTTTTACGTGTTTTGACCTATTCTCGTCGCGTTCTTGTACTATTTTTCTGCGACGGCATGCTTTTTTACTTGCATTTCCACTCTCGGTTGCAGCGCTTTTCTTAAGGCATTAGATCGCCAGTCTCATGTTTTGAGAATTTGAAGCATTAGGAGGGGCGGAATCATGAACTGCAGTGAATGATCTTGAAGATGGATATGTCAGTTGAAAACCCCACGCAAATTTGAAACTAACGATTTACAGAAAGATTGGGACGAGATGTTAGTATTCGAACGTAGCTGTTATCGGGACTATGGCCCGCGACTGAAGTGTTGGCATCAGTGTTCCTTTCCGGTGAGCTCAAGGTAAGAACTCTGGACTCGTGAGCAGAAGGCTCAGTTTCGAATGCCGGCTATTCCAGTGAGAAGATTTAGCTTGTGACGCTCACGTAACAGAACGCCGAACACCAGACAGTCCTCCTCAGCACCCAATAAAGGCTGACGACGGCCGCAGAGTCAGACGTTGTGGTAATAGCTCTCCACGTGAGGACGATGGTCCGCATCATTATTCCCCTGGTATGATTTGGCGGCTGCTTAGCTCTCAACTCTGACGCAGCCATGAGGCCACTTTTATTAAAGTGCGTTTTAGCGCTGTCCAACGCAAAATCAAATTTTGCAATTAATTAATTCACTCGCTTAAGGGTCGGGCTCTTCAGAAGGCCAGCAGCCCAGACAGGCAAAAACCCCGAAATGGTGAAATGCCCCGAGACAACCAAATGCTCGAGATGCCCACGGAACTTTGAAGCGGTCACTAGCTCTAACCCGCACCAGAACGGACAGCTGTCTGGCTCTGAGCCAGGGTGTCGTGATAAAGATTAGATAAAATATGGCAGGGGCCACGGAGCATAAGATGGTTAAAGGTCGAGCAACTGAGGCAGTCACTGAGTCAAGTGCCCAGTCAAGTGCCCACTGAATGCTGGTGGTCCGAAACGGTGGGTGGAGATAAAATATGCCCCCCCCCCCCCGCCCCTTCCTCTCCGATGATTGAGGCGTTCATAGCCGTCTGAAGGTACTTGGGACGCTGGATGATGACACGAAGTGGTTAGATGGGCGTCGGCCATTTCAGGCTCTGCGGTTGCCAGGAATCGCGACTCAAAAGGTATAGGCTCAAAGCCCTCAGGATGGTCACTGGAGCCGCAGACTTATAACAGGCCTCGACACTGATAAATGGGCATTGTTTGTATTTGCATGCGTTTAGTCAAAATATTTCCACCAAATGGTCTTTACGGATCAGTTACAAACCCATGACGCATCGTTAAAACCGCACGTACGCACTCCACATGATCAAACGATGTAAAAGCAACTCGGTCCAAAATGATGCACACGTCTGACACTGAGACACGTGCCCCCATCCCCCTCGACCCCACTGAATTGCAGATCATGTCAGCGGTCAGGTTCCCACCGGTACACGAGCTTTAGCCATTGTCCGCTTGGCCTGTATCCGTGACAGCTCAACCCCAGCGGACCTCCTCCTACGCCGGTATCAGCAGTGCAACGGATAAGCTGATTGTCTGGGAAACCACGGAGGGTTCGATTAGATGCGGGTTGTGAGATACCCCTTGAGCGCAAGAAGGCGTCATATGGTCTCAGCAGCTGAGTGCGTCGTAAAGCCTCAATGACGACAGTTTCTCTGCAGACTTCCGGTGAACGGCACGTGTGGCACCAGCCATCTGCCACCGGTCGATCTGAAACTCTACACACACACACACACACACACACACACACACACACACACACACACACACACACACACACACACACACACACACACACACACGCACGCACGCACGCACGCGCGCGCACGCGCACGCGCACGCGCACAAGCACACGCACGCGCACACGCACACGCACACGCACTGACATCGGCGCTTCACTCGGTCTAGCGAATGTCGTGCATGAAATATCAGTCTGTTATATCCGTACAAAGCACCCCTTTGGTTATCATGGATCTGGACTGTTATGTTCATTAGATGAACAAACGAGGGCCGTTTGTAACTTGTGTCGCTTGCCCGCTTTAGGCATCAAAATTTGCTGGTTTCTGCGCTGTGTGTGTGAGTGTGTGCATGTATGAATAATCCTGTGAGGTCACTTGTACTAGTGCCACATACTGCTTGTTAACCTGCTGGAACGGTTTCGCCATAAATGGATTGTTTCTATAACTCCAAAATGATCGTAGCAAATAAATCAATCGTTGATTTTTTTCGTGTGAATTTCGCGAGTCACATCGCACCTCTTTGAACGTATTTTTATGTCAGGAGGCCTGCTTTGTTATTCAAAACCATCTGCAGCGCGATGTTGCACGAAACGTCAGGGGTGCTGGCACACACTGGGATTCGAAACTAACCCCACTGCAGTGACATGCAGTGTCTCATGGGGCACAACTTCTGCGCCACCATCTCGCACGTGCAGCACAAAAATATCAAAATTTTACTAAAGCTCTGACCTCATCGAACCAGCCAGCGTGGTGGAAGCGTTCACGTTTGCGACTGCGCTTACGGCTGAACGAATGCTGAAGCGCAAGCCAGACGTGGTTGCCAGTATTTAAATTCTGTTTCATCTCCATGAATTCGTAAGTTGCCTTGAAAAGCCCTGTGAAGGAACCGGACAGTTTTGGTTTAATTTCCAGAAGTTGGGTCTGGCTGTGGCTTATTTCTTCTACGGCTTCATTGTCATCTGCTCAGAAAAAGCCAAAACCAACAACCCTATTTCACCGCAACAACCCTATTTTCTCCCATCTCACTATATTCGACACAGCGTCGAAAACACAAAAAGGGTCCATGTATTCGCAGGAAAAAGGGCAGACGGCGAACACCGAGTTTCTATAGCAAGTGTTGTGTGAGACGCCGGTGCAAAGCAAATGCAACTTGTAATACGTATTACAAATCACATTGTGTGCCTATACGTTATATGTTACTGCCATAGCCACCAACCCATACGCACTGCCATGGGTTGGCGGCTAATCTGTGGCTGTCTGACCCAGGTGGTGGGCTACTACTTCTTCGACCAGCCGGCGGTGATGATCTTCGACGTCGACCTGGCGCGCGGCGTGTTCGCCACGAACGACAGCGCAGGCAGACCACACATGGACGTGCTCAAGAAACGCACGTTCGGAGAAATGAGAGGTCCTGCTTTGGTGGAGTGTTTCGGTTAGGTGCAGCTGCAATAACCGAGGCAGGCGTTTTGGTTATGTGCAGCTGCGATAACCGAGAGAAGCGTTTCGGTTAGGTGCAGCAGCGACAATCGAGGTAGGCGTTTCGGTTAGGTGCAGCTGTGATAACCGGGGGAAGGGTTTCGGTTAGGTGCGGCCGTGACAGCCTAGGGAAGCGTTTCGGTTGGGTGCAGCCGTTAGAGCTGGGAGGAGCGTTTCGGTTAGGTGCAGCTGTGATAATCGAGGGAAGCGTTTCAGTTAGGTGCAGCAGCGATAACCGAGGGAGGCTTTTCGGTTAGGTGAACTGTAATAGGTGAGGGTAGCGTTTAGCTTTGGTCGTTTTTTCCTCGCGCCACCGTAAGACCAATGTTAAGTTGCATTAAACGTAGGGAAGCTCTGCAGGGGTGTGCCCTCCGCATTCATGGCAGCTGCACTGACTCGGCTCTGGCTGGCAATGTGTTTAAAACTGAAGTGACTCAGGCCCCTTTTCACCTGGTCCCTCCCGTGACCTAGGCATGCCAAGCTCGCCATAGAAGTGACTCGGGCCCCTTTTCGCCTGGTCCCTTCCCGTGACCTAGGCATGCCAAGCTCGCCATAGAAGTGACTCGGGCCCCTTTTCGCCTGGTCCCTCCCGTGACCTAGGCATGCCAAGCTCGCCATAGAAGTGACTCGGGCCCCTTTTCGCCTGGTCCCTCCCGTGACCTAGGCATGCCAAGCTCACCATATAAGTGACTCAGGCCCCTTTTCACCTGGTCCCTCCCGTGACCTAGGCATGCCAAGCGCACCATAGAAGCACCTACCTGGGGCCACTAATCTCATTCTATTGTGCAATAGCATTGTATTGTTAGCATTATAACGTGTTGTTTGTAGTAGACGTCAGCTCAGTGTTCCGCTTCGGCGTGCACCGAACATGGCATGGCTAGGATCACACTCTGAGTCTCGCCCTTTGTGCCGTCCCAAATCAGGAAAAGCGATATTTCCTTGAGGACTACCAGTGTTGCGAACTGCAAGAACCTTTCCCATGAACAACAGGTACACGCGCGCCGTCAAAACGAGCGTGAATTGTTATTCTTGCTGGCGCCCTGCCAAAAGCGTTAGACGTGAGCACGGTTTTGTTAAATAAGCAGGCTGCAGAGCAGCTGTGGCTGACTTGGCCAGCACTTGGACACGCAGAGAATCCGGCAATTTCCGCCACAGGAATCCTCTTCAACGAAGGGCCGTCGTGGCAGCGCCAGAGGCGTTTCGCACTGCAACATCTCCGTGACCTGGGCATGGGTCGCGCCTCGTTGGAGACCATCGTGCAGCAGGAGGTCGGCGCCATGATCAGGAGCTTCACAGAAAGAACCGGCAAGCCGGTGGCAGTTCAGCATTTATTCAACGTATTCATGCTCAACGTTCCATGGGAGATCATCTCTGGCAAAAGGTAATGAATAGTTAGCGCATGCGTTGCTGAAAAACGGCAGGAGAAGCTGCGAACGTCTTCCCCCGACCAAGGATCCCCGCTGTGACTAATACTAAGGAGCCACCTCCTCTGTCCAAAGAACGTGTCGCCTTTTCCTGTTATGCCACAAGCGGGTGTGTTCTAGTGACAGCTGGAGAGTATTCTAGTGTGTGTGTGTTCTAGTGACATATTCACCCATGTCATGCATTGACGTGTGGTTTCTGGCCTGTTATCAGGTCCTTCGACGGTAACGCACGTTGCTATTCCGTCACGAACTGCGCGAAACTTTGCCGACAGGCTCGCAAAGCGTGGCCCCACCTGCCGCTGATCTCTGACGTCAGCACTGACTCTGACATCAGCATGCTATCTGACATCAGCCCGATCTCTGGCGTCAGTATGCCCTCTGATGTCCGGACACCACCGTCACTTACCGAGTGGGGATACGATCTCTGACGTCAGCATGCCCTCTGATGTCCGGACACCACCGTCACTTACCGAGTGGGGATACGATCTCTGACGTCAGCATGCCCTCTGATGTCCGGACACCACCGTCATTTACCGAGTGGGGATACGATCTCTGGCGTCAGTACGCCCTCTGATGTCCGGACACCACCGTCACTTACCGAGTGGGGATGCGATCTCTGACGTCAGCATGCCCTCTGATGTCCGGACACCACCGTCACTTACCGAGTGGGGATACGATCTCTGGCGTCAGTACGCCCTCTGATGTCCGGACACCACCGTCACTTACCGAGTGGGGATACGATCTCTGACGTCAGCATGCCATCGTCACTGACCGCGCGCGGCGGCAGGTTTGATGAGCGGGACCCCCGCCTGCCGGTGATCCTGCGCGCCATCTCTGACGTCAGCACGCAGGGCGTGGGTCTGCTGGGCATAGTGCGGTTCCTGTTCGGCAGCTACCTGACCAGCTCGCTGTCGCAGAAGATGTACCGAGGCATGGAGGAGAACCGTGACGGTCTGGTCGCCATCCTCAAGGTCAGGACAGTCGCTCATGGCCTGGTTTTCGAGGGGATGACATGTCACAGGGAGAGTGGTTCCTAGCGGCCGGACACACGGGAAAGAAGGAGGCCATGGCACCCCTCACCCTGCAAAAATGTATAGATATTATGTAGTGTTTGATCATCTCTAAATCACTGCACCCTTCGGCGTAAAACATATACGTACTATATGTGACCATATGTGATTGGTGCATATATATATATATATATATATATATATATATATATATATATATATATATATATATATATATATATGCATGCACTTAGAAAGGGATTTTTATTTTACGAAAAAGTTGTTATAAATGGCAGCATTTTTGTTGTGCAATGAGGGTTCCTTCGGGAATTTTGAACAGCCCCCCCACACACACACTTTTGTCCGGACCACCGTGATCGGTCCAATGCGATTTTTCACCGTGAGTGACCTCAGCCCTTAGCCTTACAAGTAAATACAATATTCAACTATGTCGCATAATGGTTTGATCTACGTAATGCTCAGTAAAATTGCAACGATACATACGTTCAGTTAAGTGTTCAGTGCATTGGCGAGGAACATTATTCACATAGATAAGGCAATAGTGTTAGCCTTATTCCTCGGAAGAAAAAAAAAACAGGAGAATGGAGATATAGTTTGGTTGATATTTCGATGAAGGCATGTTGCCGAAATATCAACCGATCTCCATTCTCCTGCTTTTTCCGAGGAATAAGGCTAATACAACTGCCGTATCTACGTCCAGTAAAGGCACATCGACAGCAAATTTCGCCATGAACTGATCACGGTGGTTAGAACAAAACCGTGAGGAACTCCTTCGAAGTTCTCAAAAAAAACCTCGGCATGGCAAATCATCCCATTCTGGCTGTACGTTGCGGCTCAAACAAGCGGAGTGTGCCCCTTGCGTTGACCTGGCGGTCCATGACAGTGTCGTTGTCACGCATGTATACTGCTGTCAGCGCTTGGAGCTTCCGCCTGTCAGAGCAATGGGCGAGGATGGTGGTGCTATTAAAAACCAGTCTACTCAGCTGGCTGCGGTGGACCTTGGGATGGCGACTAGGGCCTCCATCTTACAGATGCGCCCGCCCAGAGTCATGGCCGCGTGGCCTATTTAGGCACCATTAGGGCGGCGCGGACAGCCGCCGGTATTGCCGCGAAACTGGTATGCTATATTGGCCATTTTTAGTACAGAGGGGCCATGTGATGGGTTATCCTTAAAAACTAGGCTGGTCACTTCCAAGCTCCGGTAGAGGATGATGAGCTTGATTTCGTCCGGACGCTGGACAGGTTGGCAGTTTTTGGACGCTATGTCTTGTATACTCTTCTTGCCCTTGTAAGCTGCTGTGGTTCTCATAGGAAAGGTTAGGTAGAGAAAGTCTATTCGTAACAACGAAAATTCGGCGGAGAAGATATTGGACAACAAATATGCTGTAATTTAAGCAGCTTTTGGATGCCTTTAAGTGTATGAATATATATATATAATATATCAATTATTACTTCCTAATCCCATCACCACCTAAAACATCAACCCAACTGCGCTCACATATGCCATATAATCATACTTGTGCACCATTAGCACACTTCTGATGGAGTTTCACGCGAGCTATCCAGCTCCTACCCTTGTTTGACTCTAGAATGTTTGGTTTTCGGGCTAGCAGAGGCCGCGCCGGAGTTCAGAGGACCGCGTCCGGCGAGTTTGAGGAATATCCCCAGCCGCCGAGGATTGCCAGCGAGCCTGGCGCCACGCATGGAATGGGACTAATCAAAACACCCCGCGTCTCTCCAATGGTGGACAGCATGTCTGACCATAAGTCAAATGTGTGATAAGATCAAGCCTATGCAATGTGTCTGATCACGGGCTACCTCACAGCCAATGCAGCTTGCGGCAAAAAACGCTCCGCTGCTTAGAAACGTTCGGGCGTACAGCCTTAACCAAAACCTTAACAGATCAAACATTTTCGTTATTGTTTCAGGAAGAGATTCAGGAGCACAAAGAATCTATGGACCCAAAATCGCCAAAAGACTTCATCGACGCTTACCTCATTGAAATGTCATCCACGTCAGATTCTTCGGAGTTCACAGGCAAGCAAGCGACTTTTCTATCGCTCGGCTCGGCCATTGGGGACCTTAATACGCTGCAACTGACCAGAATCCTCCCGCCCCCTCCCTCTCCCGCAGAGCTGACGCTGTACTCCGTGCTGATGGATCTCTTCACGGCTAGCACGGGCACCAACAGCGTCTCGCTGGAGTGGGCCATGCTGTTCCTGGTGCTGTACCCGGAATGCCAGCGGCGGGCGCGAGCCGAGCTGGCGGCCGTGGTGGGACCTGGCCGGCTGGTGACGCTGGAGGACCAGCCGCACCTGCCCTACACGCAGGCGCTGGTGGCCGAGACTCTGCGGCGCAGCTCCGTGCTGGCGCTGGGAGTGCTGCACCGCGCCACCGCCGACATCCCCGTGGCGGGTACGTGTGAGCTTCCAGGGGTCAGACATCCCCGTAGCGGGTATGTGTGAGCTTCCAGGGGTCAGACATCCCCGTGGCAGGCACGTGTGAGATTCCAGGGGTCAGACATCCTCGTGGCAGGCAGGCGTGAGCTTCCAGGGGTCAGACATCCCCGTGGCAGGCACGTGTGAGCTTCCAGGGGTCAGACATCCCCCTGGCAGGCACATGTGAGCTTCCAGGGGTCAGACCTCCCCGTGGCAGGCACGTGTGAGCTTCCAGGGTTTAGACATCCCCGTGGCAGGCACGTGTGAGCTTCCAGGGTTTAGACATCCCCATGACAGGCAGGTGTGAGCTTCCGGGGTTCAGACATCCCCGTGGCAGGCAGGCGTGGGCTTCCAGGGGTCAGACATCCCCGTGGCAGGCAGGCGTGGGCTTCCAGGGGTCAGACATCCCCGTGGCAGGCAGGTGTGAGCTTCCAGGGGTCAGACATCCCCGTGGCGGGCAGGCGTGAGCTTCCAGGGGTCAGACATCCCCGTGGCAGGCAGGCGTGAGCCTCCAGGGGTCAGACATCCCCGTGGCAGGCAGGCGTGGGCAACCGCACATCCCCGCGGTATGTGCGGTTGGTGCTGCGCAGGGCGGGAATGCACGCTAGTGCGCCAGCTCTGTGGCCATCCTGGACGTGATCATGGCGGTTCTTGTGCCCTGAAATGTCAGCAGCGTGGGTGTGTCTGCCCCATACCGCCTTGAATACCGTGCCAAGGAGATGGTGCCAGCAGAACTTCAGGAGCGCAATCGGTCCCGAGCATCCTTGCCGGCGCATTCCGAAATGCACCACTCCTCGCGTACAAATCCGCCCTGAGCCGTCGTGACTGTCGCCCGTGCAGGCTACATCGTGCCGAAGGACGCCTGGCTTTACATCAACCTGTACGCCATCCACCACGACGTCGAGTACTGGGGCGATCCCTTCAACTTCCGGCCCGAGAGGTTCATCCACGACGGCCAGTTTCAGCCCGACACGCACCTGGTCCCCTTCAGCGTCGGTACGTACCACATCGCCGCCTCGGGCAGGCCCCGTCACACATAGCACCCGGTCCCCTTCAGCGTCGGTACGTACCGCTTCGCCGCCTCGGGCAGGCCCCGTTACACATAGCACCTGGTCCCCTTCAACGTCGGTACGTACCACATCGCCGCCTCGGGCAGGCCCCGTCACACATAGCACCTGGTCCCCTTCAGCGTCGGTACGTGCCACTTCGCCGCTTCGGGCAGGCCCCGTTACACATAGCACCTGGTCCCCCTCAGCGTCGGTACGTGCCAGTTCGCCGCCTCGGGCAGGCCCCGTCACACATAGCACCTGGTCCCCCTCAGCGTCGGTACGTGCCACTTCGCCGCCTCGGGCAGGCCCCGTTACACATAGCACCTGGTCCCCCTCAGCGTAGGTACGTGCCAGTTCGCCGCCTCGGGCAGGCCCCGTCACACATAGCACCTGGTCCCCCTCAGCGTCGGTACGTGCCAGTTCGCCGCCTCGGGCAGGCCCCGTCACACATAGCACCTGGTCCCCTTCAGCGTCGGTACGTGCCACTTCGCCGCCTCGGGCAGGCCCCGTCACACATAGCACCTGGTCCCCTTCAGCGTCGGTACGTGCCACTTCGCCGCCTCGGGCAGGCCCCGTCACACATAGCACCTGGTCCCCTTCAGCGTCGGTACGTGCCACTTCGCCGCCTTGGACAGGCCCCGCCACACATAAGTGCAAGTGTAACTTAGGTTTGGTCAATCCGTGCGGTTCTGTTCACATTGATTGTCAGCGCCAAAGCACCCTATCGCGCTTATCGCACTTTTTTCCGTCGCTGAAGTTCGTTTCGATCGTAGTTAACTGATAATGAATGGTCAATGGAAAACCGATGGCAGCCTGGTTCGAGTCACACTGCCAACAACTGCGTTACTCACTGGCGGCAGCGCGAAAACACGCCGCTCGCCACGACTCGTGCGGAGGCTGCTGCTGGGTCCGGTCTAAGCCCCAACCACACTGCTGGCGAGCGGCCAGCGGGAGGGAGTATATCCGTGACGTCACACAGAGGGAGGCTAGCTGTGGCTGTGGGGTCATACGTTGCATCATCACAGCTTTTATTGAGATGAAGTCCAGCGTCTTGCAATGTGATCTGTGCCCATAAGCTCTGATTTGTTTACAAATAGAGCATTTGTTTAAAAAAGATCCCCGTAGCTCGTGTGGTTAAGTTTAAAATTAAGTGCGGTCAAGGAGGGATTTCGGCGATTATATAAGCATCACGTGATGGGGTTTGATGCTGGCAGCAGATATTCCGGAGCCGTCTGTAAGCTGCCTTTGATCATAATGGAGTTCACGTCTTAATGTTCACTTAGTGAGCGACAACCATCAGACCGCTCCATTGCAAATCCATACCGAAATGTGAAATGTTACGTAACAGCATTCTAGCACAGAGCTCCTCCAAACTAACATGCTTAAAACTTCTGCCGCCTGCTGCATTGTGCGCACGTGCAGAAACCGCGCCCGTCTCCTTTCCAGGAAAAAGGATCTGCATGGGGGAATCGCTTGGCAGAACGGAGCAGTTCCTGTTCCTGGCCAACATCGTGCACCACTTCGAGGTGCTCACTCCCGAGGGCGATCCAGCGCCCCGGTTCGATTACCAGTGCGGCGCGCGCAACTCCCCTGCCCCGTTCCGCGTCACATTCCGCCCTACCGGCTGACAATTGTCAGAATCGATCCGCGAGAACACACCTGTGGCATGATAGTCCCCCACGTGAAGGCAAATCCAACGATAGTTGATTTTTTTTTTTAATCGAGATACCATGCTAGGATCTCCATGAAAGCAAGCCGCTCCAACTTAAAAATATATTGACCTCCACACTCAAACCACGCGACCGGGCACATCACGAGATCTGCACGCACCCTGGAGGTGGGGCCGTCCCTGGCGGAGCTCAGCAGGGCGGATCAGAAGTCGAGCGGTCCGCCGGGCCGGCCGGACTGGCAGCCGGCGCTCGGGGCCCTCCTCCTGCGCCCGGCTCGTCGCCTCGGACAGCTCAGCAGGCCGGATCAGAAGTCGAGCGGTCCGCCGGGCCGGCCGGACTGGCAGCCGGCGCCCGGCCGGCCGGGGCCCTCCTCCTGCGCCCGGCTCGCCGTCTCGGACAGCTCGGGAGGCAGGTGCAAGGTCTGCGAAGCACGCCAGCGGCCGTCGTCAGGCAGGTGGGACAGCCCCTGAGAAGGCCAGCCTCTGGAGACGGCTCGGACCCGGTCTGCACACCGAAGGCACCCAGTCACCAAGAAGCTGCAATACCGCTTGCTCGTTCACAGACCATACGAAAATAGATGCCATTCGAAGCCATCACAAGTGCATGCTGGTTAAAAGCTATTGTGCTAAAAAGAAAGCTTTCAACTTGAAAACATTGATTGTGTAGGAGCTTGAAAATACATAACAGACTTGAAAGAAGCATGTGTCATAAATATTAACCAGATGAATTCGGTCGCGCAACGCGGACGCCTTAAAGAAAATGTTCCACATTTGCAAGTATTAAAGCAAGTATCAGATATGATGAAGTAGGCTCCCTTGCAAATATTGGTACAGATACAAGCCTCCCCAAAACAGTCTGTGCATCTTTGCGGGCGGGCACATTAGAAATTAAAGGGGTTCAGGTATCAAGAAAGGCATAGCTGCTAACTGCACCGACTGATCTTCAAGATGACGATTTCAGTTGCAACCCCCATACAAATGTGGAGCACTCCCTCTAAACGCCACCGTGGCAACAAGCCAGATCTACTAAGTTGCGGGGCAATTATGCCACCACGTGAAAAAGCATTACACGGTGTGCAAATGCCACCAGTGTGGTGTAGAGGCCACCCACGTCCTGACCATCAATCTACGTGCTGAAAAATGCCTCCCCTATGTTGATATACCCTAGTCCGCAGGGATACTGTGCACGCAGGAGTGACACTGCGTGCACTAACGCTGGGCCCAGTGACTTGATTGTGGGAATTTAAGTCTGTGGTAATGTCTGAAAAATGCCGAGGGCATATACAAGACAACACGGAATGCCAACAGCATCTTTCGTGTTTAAAGATGAATAACGTCACAAGATGGTGTGCCTGGACCCGCATACGCGCCTGGGAAATTTTTATAACTAATTGGTACGACGGTAGTGGTATCTCACGAAAGCTAAAAATAGAGCGGCTCGTATGGAGACCATAGAGCGCCTGATATAGAGACAAAAGAGCGTCTCATGCAGAGGCTAGAGAGCGGCTCATATAAAGGCGAGAGAGCAACTCATGTAGAGGCCAGAGAGCGGCCGAGCAGCCACCATCGCCAAATAAGGCTACAAAACTATTTCAAAACGACAACCGCCGATTTCATGCTGCTGTAGTCGATGGCTCATATCACTGAAAACATCACACGGCTGCAGCATCCCTTCAGGGAAGATTGCCAAGCGGGTAGTGTGCTCCAACATGACTCTCCTCGGCCACACTGTAGTCCAACACACCAGTCGGCCACACTGTAGCGCCCCAGCAGGGGCAGCCACCACCCACCTCGACGGAGAACTTTTTCCGTCGGACCTTGAAGGCGAGGTCAGCGGAGCGCGGGTAGCGGGCGGCCAGCACGTTGCGGGCGCTGAGCCGGTGCAGCCGCAGCAGTCCGTGGTAGTCGCTGTAGGCGGGGCTGGCGGCGGCCGGCGTACCCTGGAACGACTCCAGGCCGAGGCTGATGTCGGCCGCCTGGCGGAGCCGGCTCACGCTGGCCTCGTCCTGCACAGACGGCGGGAGGTCAGTACGGCGCCGGACACAGACGGCGGGAGGTCAGCACGGCGGCGGACACAGACGGCGGGAAGTCAGCACGGCGGCGGACACAGACGGCGGGAGGTCAGCGCGGCGGCGGACACAGACGGCGGGAGGTCAGCGCGGCGGCGGACACAGACGGCGGGAGGTCAGCACGGCGGCGGACACAGACGGCGGGAGGTCAGCACGGCGGTGGACACAGACGGCGTGAGGCCAGCACGGCGGCGGACACAGACGGCGGGAGGTCAGCACGGCGGTGGACACAGACGGCGTGAGGCCAGCACGGCGCCGGACACACAGCAGACATTCTCAGCACGGCGCCCGGCGCACGGACACGGCCACCGCGGACACATCTAGAGAAGCACGATATAGCTCTGCAGACAACCGACACGACGCCCGACAAGAAATAAATTCACCAGCTTCTTTCTGCTGACGGGATACGCTGAAACAACGGTGGGAGGTAACACGGACGGCACGCTGGGAGCTGCTGATCAGGGGCACGGCAGTTACATAAATCAAGCCCAGCCCGGCCTCCATTCGTCGGACCGGGCCGCAGTTTGACATGAGTACGCTCTCGGCAATACCTGGTAGAGCTGAGTGAAAATGAATCCCGAGAATGGCCGTTCGTAAAGCTTTTCGACGCTTCAAAAGATATTCTAATGACCACATAGACAGTCCCATTACGGTCCAGCGGGGACCCGTACCGTCCAGAGATGCGTCGGCACGGTCACCATGGCGACGGCGGCCGTGCTCCGCAGCAGCAGCCGCAGCAGCAGGCAGGCGCGCACCACGCGGGACGGCGGCGCCTCCCAGAGCGGCGAGCCGAGCGCGTGTACGGCCACGCGCCGCACGGTGGCGTCGGCCTCCCCCGCTTGGCGGGCGAGCCGCTCGCAGGCGGCCAGGAGAGAGGCCAGGAGGTCCGGCTCCGGTGGTCCTGTACGGACACAGGGCGGTCAGGGTCCGGCGTCGGTGGGGGTCCTTTCAGAGGAGACGTGAGAGGGCCCGGCTTCGGGGCGAGTGTCGGGTCTTGGTGGTCCCGTCTGTGCGCGCGGGGTGATAGGTCGCGGCCGAGCGCACCAGCCAGCTACGGCCACGCTGGTCCCAGTGTGCCGATAACGAGACGGGAGTACAGATCATCATAAACACGCACATGCATGGCCACTATCCACCATCGGTCAATAAGCGGGCCATCTCCTCCTTGCACTCCACAAGAGCTACGTGGCCGTGGCCGTGGCCGTGGCCGTGGTCCGAAGTCCAGGCCCGTCCTCACCGTCCGCCGGCGGGCCGTGGTCTGGACACGTGGTGATGTCGGAGGCTTCGATAACCGACTGATCGATGAACTGGCTCAGGTCGTAGTGCTGGCCGAATCTGCCGGAGATGCGGTGTCACAGGTGCGCACGTGTCACACAAATGAGAAAACAGAGAAGGGTATTGATTGCCAGTGCTATTCACCTATACACATTGGAGGATTTGGTCGGCTTTCAGCACCCGGTTTTGTTTCGACAAGTCCCGAAATCTGAGCCTTTTGACTAACGCTGACGTATGAGCCTTAACCTGAACGGCTTCCAAACAGTTATGAATAACTGAAATCAAAAGCGCCAAACTCCTGCATATACTCAGATTAAGGATACAGCAGCCCCCGAATTCAGCACCCACGGCGGGAGCTCATCAAAGGAGATATAAAACGCGCAAGACAACAGTCAGCAAGCCTCAGCTATGCTGGCGCCTCTTCCAGCTGATTGTTCACTGTGTGGCCGAGCGCAGGGTGACGGAGGCCGACCCAAAGACCCCGGCTCACCTGCCGGCGGCGGGTGGTGCCCCCTGCGGCAGGCCCTGGTACCGCCAGGCGATGGTCATCCTCTGGTCGGCCGGGCTGGCGGACGGCAGGCTGGCGGACACCGTGGGGTCCGTCGGCGACGGCAGCTCCAGCGTCTGATCACCGTGTGGGGGGGGGGGGGGGGGGAGGACACGACGGTGAGGTGCGGCGCGGGTCAGGCACCTCAGGGGCTACGCGGCGGGACACGAGACCTGTACAAAACAGCGACCAGACTGTATGGCATGCTCAGCTATCTAGTAAAAACAAACAGGCCGCCTCAAACTTCCCGCAATTCTTGCTCACTCGCTCAACTGAGCCTCAACGTTCTTTATGTCAATCCCAGAAAAAGAGCTGCGCAAATTTTGGTGGCATTGATGGGGCCTGATTCTACCAATCATTTAAGTCTGCTTCCACATACTTGCGTCGTCACCGCACACCTGAACACGAACCAAACCACAGAAGTGATGCCCTGCTCGCTCTCAGCGGCGGGACGGACGGAGCAACAGGGACTGAAGCTCACCATGCTCCTGGGGTCGGCGTCCAGGCTGGAGACGAGCAGCGGGTGCCGGTTGCACACACCCTCGGACATGAAGTAGCTGAGCAGGAGGCGGGCGTAGTCACCGAACCGATCCTCCTCTGCGGCCCGGACAGACAGGTCCTGAGTGGCCAGACGCCGCCAGACGGGCGCGGCGCGGCGGCGGGCTCGCTCGACTCCGTGTGGCGTCAAACAACTCTGTAGGAGTGTTTTGCGCAGCTGCTCAGCCATGATACGCACGCGGCGCGGCGGCGGGCTCGTTCGACTCCGCATGGCATCAAACAACTCTGTAGGAGTGTTTTGCGCAGCTGCCCAGCTATAATATGCACGATTCTGTAAGGCTAAACAACGTGGATGTCCTCTGCTGCCATGGTCATCCCTTTCTGCCCGACTTTTGAGCAAGTCCCAGCATTGGGTTAGGTCAGGGCATTCCAACAGGCAGCAAAGGTGCATGAGGTAAGAAGAAACACTAAACAAAACCATCCCAACACTATGGGCGCATGGCATACTTCCTAAGGAGGCTTAGCCCTGTTCGACCACAACTTTAATCATCAGGCACGTTTTTACTCACCAATTACCA